TTTTTTCTGGGATTTTTGTGAATCTCTGCCGAACATATTTTTTAAGACTTTTCATACACCCCCCCAACACACACAGAGGAATATTTTTCAGCCATGAGAAAGAAGGAAATCCTACCATTTGCAACAACATGGATGGAACTTAAAAGCAATATGTGAAGTGTAATAAGCCAGACAGAGAAAGACATATACTGCATTGTATCACTTACATGTGGAATTAAAAGAAAAAAAGTTAAACTCATAGAATCAGAAGACAGAAAAGTGGTTGCCAAGGGCTGGGGTGGTTAAGGAAATAGGGAGAAGTTGGTAAAAGGGTATATAAACTTCCAGCTGTAAGATGAATAAGTTCTGAAGACCTGATGTAAAACATAATGGCAATAAGGGCACCTGGCTGGCTCAGTCGGGACAGCAGGTGACTCTGGATCTCAGGGTGGTGAATTTGAGCCTCATGTTGGGTGTAAAGATTACTTAAAAAAAACCGAAAACATGATAGCTACACAGGGTTACATACCTGTACTGGGGGAGTATTACTTAAAGGTTTTGAGTATTAAATGACAAAAGGTCAAAGGAAAAAAAACATGATTGACAACACTGTATTATATAATTGAAATTTGCTGAGAGTAAAACATTAATGTTCTCACCAAACAAAGACAAAAACAAAAAGAAAGAAAAAAGAAAGAAAGGAAGAAAGAAAGATAAATATGTGAGATGATGGATATATTATTGAGATGGTGCAAATCCTTTCACGATGTATTTGTACATCAAATCACCCTGATGTGGACTTTAAATATTTTACAATGTTATTTGTCAATTACACCATGAAAATTTGGGGGAAAAAAGAGAATATGAGGCACATTTCTATCTACTTGCGAACTTCTCTAGTAAAGAGCTGAAGCAGGTGCACACCAGGAAACATGGGCCAAGGAAGCAAACCCCAGCACTTTCCATGTGTGGGTATCTTCAGACAACTTTCCTAGAACTTATAGACTCAAACATGAGAGTGATTAGGTGACCTCCTAAGAGAGTTTCAGTGAAAATTGAGTATTGAAATTTGAAAAAAATCTAATGTTCATTTTTGAGAGAGCGAGAGAGACAGAGTGTGAGCAGGGGCGGGGCAGAGAGAGAGGGAGACACAGAATCCGAAGCAGACTCCAGGCTCTGAGCTGTTAGCACAGAGCCTGACCCAGGGCTCGAACTCCCCAACTGTGAAATCATGACCTGAGCCGAGGTTGAAAGCTTACCCGACTGAGCCATCCAGGCACCCTGAGTATTAAAATGTTTTAAACACCTGAAACTCTCTTTGTAAAAATTCCCACATGTAGACATTCCATAAATAAAAGATATTAGGATACTCCCTTGAATAACTCAAGCCATTATGATGATATAACTCGAGTTATATTTCATGCTGATTTTAGGTACTTTCTAATCATAGAGGGGAATTCAGAAATCTTTTGCATCAGCAAGAATGCCTAAGTAAATCATTCATGTGAATTAACATGTCAGCAGAGAAACAGACTCCTGATATAATAGATTAAAGGGACAAGGAGGGAGAACAAAATCTTGGATGCTCAGTTCCATTTAATCCTCAGTGAAAGCAATCTAGAAAGAAATCTAGAAAGCTCTGTATGCCACACTTCACATCAAAACTTAAAACGTCCATGGACATGTACCTGTGTTATCTATGTCTAGCCACTCTGAGCAGCCTTTGAGGATTAGTGTTAACTCAAAACACAACTGAATAAACAATTACAGTTTTCAAGATGTACTTTCAAAATTCACCTTTCACATGGAAAGAAGAAACATGACCAAATAACAATTGTCCATGGCACTATATAAGAGCTATTTTCTGTCATTAGTTACATTCAGCCTTGATTTGACATCTTAATTCTGTCAGTACATTCTATGACTCAGGCACCCACATTCTGCTTGAGAAAATACAGTTAAATATCGGTAACCAAACTCATTTGACTTTTTCATCCTTGTCACTTCTGGACCGGACCTAATGCAAGAGTCTGGGTTGCAGTTCCCATTACTGCTACTACCACTACTGGGAATAATGATAACAGTAATGTGTGCCACAACTTTCAATAGTTGTTAAAGTATTTATGTAAATAGCCTCCTCCCCTAAGTTATCTAAAATAGAGCTGAGAGCGATATATAAGATACTCAAATCTGGAGATATACATGTTTAACACTCATGCCATTTGTCTTTCCCCACCAAATGGCAGACATTACTAATCACTCTTTCCCACTAAGCATAGACACCCCTCAGGGTCTTTCTCAACTTTCAGTGGATGTGTAGGCAGCCACTACCCACCTATCATCGTTGGCATTACAAGAAAGAGAATATTTGCTATCCTTGATACAGCACAACCCATCCTTTCACAGACGAAGAAATGCTCACAAAATGCATGACAAATTAGTGGCAGACTGCGTATAACATTCTGTGTCAGCTCCCCAGCTCTCAGCCCAGTGCTCTTTCCACTGCCCCATGTACTTTACCAGAATATAACACCCAAATGACTAAGCAGATTCTGGTTTCGAAATTAAAATCCTCACAATGACTTTTAAATTTCATTATTCAGAAAGCTGTTCTAATAAAGAGACTTTGGTCCAATATATTTACTACCTCATCTGGCCACCATTCTTTACACAGCAAGTATAATCAGTTATCCCTGGGGGGCAGAGGGTGATTTCAGCAGGTGCCGAAATACATGCATTTATAAAGACTGCTAGCATGTTCACATCCTACAAAAATGCACACAATCAATCTCAAAAATCACCAACTCTTCAAATAGGAGGATTCCAGCTACATGTGAGGGGTAACTGATCACAGTCAGCTAAGACTAATAAACATGAAAAAGAAGAGCCAAAGAGAAAGACAGATGCCAATGAGTACTTCTTACCATTTAAGACAACTTATAATTCTAACCATTCTGCTAAAAACAGACAACGGACTGATTGCTATTGTTTTACTGATTAACTATTCTCTCTGCTTTTTCCCAAAAGGCACCCTGGCAAACTTTGCTTAGTAAATATTGACACCTGTAAACCAAGCTGGCTAATGCCGTTGGCTCTCCAGCTATCTTCCCATCTGTTGCCTGAGAATTTTAAGCAACGCATTTTGGGACTCTTGCTCTCTTTCCATTGTAAACTGTAAAAAATGCTACCCAGAAGCTAATCCGAAAGCCACATGGCCCTAGAGGGGCCTGTGGTAAGTAAAGGGAAATGTAGTCTAATATGTAAAATGCGTATCCCACTGGCCTCCTCGGCCACCCCGTCTTTAGTTAATAGCATGCCGGGGTAATCTGCTTAGTTACCAAGTGGAGCTTTTTTCCCTCTTCCCCATGAGATCACCCAGACCACGATCAAAGCCCAAACACACTCTCTGCCAGCTCTATTGTTCCCCAGAGTGGGATTAATGACTAATTATGTCAGGTCACTCATCCAGATGGCCTCTCAGATGTTCCTTTGTCATTGTCTGACCTTCCATATGCCCCTTTGACCTTGAGGTTTATTTCCATGGAAACATGAAGCCTCAGTTTCCTTGCTGAGATTGCCAAGAATTGGCCAAAAGGAGGGATATGGGATAATCTACCCACACTTTGTATTCTGCTTCCATCTCATGCCTTGTTAAATCCAATGAATAGATAAAAAATGCTATCTGGTCCCAGCTGAGTGATGACCATGGTCATGATTCTATGTTACATGCTATGTTTTTTAAATTAGCAGCCAGCTTTGTACATGGAAACGTGCATTCAATTTGAAGAACATCAATCGCCATAATGTGATCTTTTTATCTCATTAATGTTAAGCAAGGGTAATAGAATGGAATTACACAATATCACTGTGAAAGGAATACAATTCAGAGAATTATAGATATCCCCCATTAAAGCCCTAGAGATGTTTGGATAAGTCAACTTGTTCAGTTTCATAAATTAAAGATTCTTTACTTACTACCTTTTCTGGGGTTTAAATTCTAGCCTCGGATGTTGATCTTAATCTGAAGAAGGATTTTAAAGTGGTTAGAAAATGGAGAATTTCCTCAAAACTACCAAATAAGTAAATAAAAATAGAATAGGAGACTGACTCATGCACTCAATTAAATAAAAAAGGTTGAATATGTATTTGCATGGGATGAAATGTATTTCCCTTTATATTATAAAGAAGACTAAAGAATAATTCATATATCTAAAATGTGGAGGCTAATTCACTTCTCCCGAGTTCATGCAAGAATGAAGTGTCTCTCTGCTCTATACAGAAATTCACACAAGCACAGAAGTCTCACGGAGAATGCAAGCAGAGTGGAAAGTAGACTCATGTGCCCAACTCTTCCTGGCAGGGTGGCAATTTATGAATCTTCCCTCACCAATGATCAAGAATCTGCAGAACAACCTGAGAGTTACCAGTTTATTTAAGAAGGAAATTAGAGCTAGGTGAACAAAGGATTTTATTCCTTGTATTGTTCTTGATGGGCCATTTTGCCTTCTGAATCCGGGGAAAAAAACCAAAACCAAAACCAAAACCTTGGGTCAAAAGGAAAAACGCATCCTGGTTAATGACAGCCAATCCCCTTCACTCCCCACCGCCAGGACCCCAATGCCCTTTGGAGACAGTGATGGTCCCTTGCTCACTGCTCACCGCAGTATCACCCAGATGTCTGTGTCCAGCACAGTGCCTGGCATCATCTAGGTTTCTAGAACATCATTAAATTAATGAATGTGAAATGAATGTTAGTGCTAGCTAATGTGTGCCAGAAAACTTGAACTTTCTCTTTGTTTTCTTCCAACGGTACAGTCAGGAACTGCTTATTTAAGGAAGCATTGTGTGCAAATTCAGCCTCAAGGAACACAATTCAATGTAAAACAGAGAAATCCTTTCCTTCCGTGCAAAGAGAGGCAATTTATATTTAAAGGATGACAACAACACAGTAGATTTCCACAAAGCATAAAAAGGCATGACAGGTTCCTAATCACTTGAGAATGTGGCCAGAAAAGTCTTACCACATTTCAGCCAGCGTCCCAGTCCTTTTGCAATGGTTCCATGCCACGTAAGATGCTCATTCCATCTCCCGAGTTTGCCATCACCCCTCCCAGACAAAGATCCTTTCCCTCCTCAGATGGCATTGCTCGGAGACGGAGCAGACTGACTACCCACACTGCAGACACAGACAGTTGGCAAGACTGACATTTTTCCTACGAATATAGCTACTTAATTTCTAAAATTTCCAATTGCTTTGTCATACATAAAACTCACAGGCATAGAATCATCTTAATTAACACCATAGCTGAAATGTTGACATTGTATCTCAGTAGAAGTATAATTTGAACAAAAGTTCAAATCTTCCATTAATGAGGCTCATCACGACAGCATGGGACACTTTTCTAAGTCCCAGCTTCCTCACCTGGAAATCACACTATTGTACCCAGTAAGTCCTTGCAATAACTATGAGTGGAAATAATTCTCCCAGTAGGAGGGACTTAGAATTTTCATGTACTAGAAGTGCAATTCTCATGGTTGCCTGAAAGATTCACAAGAGTCAGCTAGTATATCAGAATATCACATCAAGGGGGAAATTACAGTATCAAAGAATAGGGAACTGAAAATCAGTGTCATCCAAGTGCTACTAGTCTGATTTTTACGGTCCTTATAAATTGCCTTGTGAGTAGATTTATATCAATGAAAAAATATTTGTTAAGTGTCTGCAGTGTGTCAGTCCTGGCTTAGTTTCTGTAAATACAATGAAGATGGAGTCAAATCACTCTTATCCTAGTAAGGAGACTGAGGAGTTAAGTCAGAGTGCCTTGGGAAAGCCTAGGACAACTTCCTGGAGGAGGTGACATCTTCGTTAAGCTCTGAATAAGAGCAAAACAGAAAACAGAAGAAGAGTGAGGAAAAGTAACCTGATAGAAGGAGCAATCTATGCCAAATCTTATGTGGGAAAATGGATGGGCCAAATTCAGAGATTTGCAGTAGTTCAGCATGACTGAGAGGTGGTATGAAGGTGAGGTTGGACAGGTGACCAGGAGCCCCATCCTCAAAGGCCTTGTGTTCCATGTTAGGTAATCTGCAGCCCCAAGGGATCTGAGCAGGAAATGCCAGGAGACTCTCAGGGAACTCTGTTGTCAGGCGGCAGGTCCTCAGACTCCTGGCTGGAATTCAAGGATAGGATTCCAGTCCACAGAGAGAAATAACCCAGGCAAGTCACGACCCTCATCCTAGTAGGTCCTAGTCTATTAGACAATCCAGGCATGACTTGGGCACTGGCTATAAGAGGGCAGAGATTATCCTGTGGGGACTGATTTTAGGGACAAGAAAGAAATCCAGAACTCTTCTGTTTCTCCCAGACAAGCATTGGAGGTAACTTGGAGCAGAGTTTCAGAATGCTGCACTAGTGTTTCTTAACTCTCTTTTCTAGAGAGAGGAGTTGGCAGGCAGGAGCAGGGGGTGAGTGGTCGGAGGGAACATGTTGAGCCGTTAAAAGTGAAGGGTCTGGGCTGCAGAAAGAAGAGGGAAACAGAGGCAGGAACTCAGTAGGTCTTTCCTTTGCAGCAGTGAGAGGCACTGGATCTGGAGCTGATTAGCTCTATGACTTCGAGAAAATGTTCTTCTTAGCCTCTCTGAGCTGCCATTACCCTGTTTATAAAATGAGGACAGCAATGCTTTCCATGCTGGATTGTTGTGTGAATTAGAAAAGAGAAGCAAAGTATCTGACATCGAGAAGGCAATTCATGATGGCAGTAAATAAATAGTAGCTTTTATTTTTTATTTTTTTTTAAGTTTACTTATTTATTTTGAGTGGGGAGGGGGAGGGCAAAGAGAGAAGGAGAGAGAAAGAATCCCAAGCAGACCCTGCACTGCCAGCATGCAGACTGACATGGAGCTTGAAATTATGGTTCGTGAGGTCATGACCTGAGCCAAAATCAAGAGTCACACGCTTAGCCCACTGAGCCACCAGAGTCCCCAGTAGTAACTTTTATTAAGGGGGTATACTGATAGTTACCGTGCGGGAGATGTGCATTAACCACAGCAGGGAATAACTAATAATTATCTTTACACTAGCTTTATCTGGCTCTCTTTCATAGCATTTTCTTTCCACTTTACATCTGTCCTTATGCAAATTTTATGATAATTCAGTTATCAGTATGTATTATATTATGATTTATCCATGTTTATATTCCCTAGAATGGATATTACAGCTTTACATGGGGTAGGTACCTAGGAAATAATTGTTGAATGACTAAATAACCCCTTTGGGGATAAAACATGAATCACAGGGCTGTTTCTAAAAGTTGCTGATGTTATTGGTAAGTTCCCCCCATTCAACACATATTTGTTGAGTACCAATTTGTACCAGGCCATCCCATCCACCAATCGCTACCTAATTCTTTTACCAAAGCAGTCAGGATCTGTTTTTATTTTGTTTTGCTTTCCATTAATGTTATGGTTCCAAGGAAAGATCAGTTTGTGGATTTTGTCAATGTGCAGTTGTTAGAAAAAGCAATGAAAGCATCCCTAATCTTGGCTGTTCAAAAGGAAAGAAAGGATGAAACGAGATCTTCCCTGGGTGCTATCATATGAACCCCAATGGCATGAGAAACCGGGGATGGAGATAACCCACTGCAATGCATAGTCAGCGAACCCCTCTTAATGCACAAATCATTGACTCTGTGTCAGAACTATTATCTTTGCTTTAGATTCTTTAAATTTGCTCTATTAGAAGCTCAGAACACAGCACAGAATAATTGTTTAATGAACTGACTTTCCAAAGGGTCAGTACAAGAACAATAGGTCCTGTAAGACACATTTAGAGGTATACATTGCATTCCATTTGTAAATGGAGATGCCTTTCTTGGGCGAGAAAGATATTTTTAAGATATAATCAAATGCTGTAAAAATATTTTCATTAGTAACATAAAAATTATATAGGTAAATACCAACTAATAACAAATTTACTGAGTTAAAAAACAATACAGTGTATCCAAGACAATTTTATGTTTGATATAGTAGGCAAAATATGAAAAGGAAATAGAATTACATATTGCCAAGGCATTACTTTTATTAGTCTATTTTCCTACCTTCGACAGCAGGGTAATTTTCAACTCTCCTTGGCTATTCAGACTCTTATTTGGTACTTTATTTGATCGACTGTCTAATCTAAATAAACAGATTAACTTGTATTTGAGAAAAGAGGAGATGGAGAGACAGCAGAGAGAATGATTCAAAAGTAAGCTTTAAATATACAAATGGGATAGTTCCTTTATGGAAACATTTCCATTCATAGCTTGCTAAAGCCCATGGGCAAAGATACCTAAAATTTCATATGATGAGTTTCTAGCTGCTATGTATGCAGTCAACTTACTGGTTTGTTATACCTGTAACATTTGCAGATACCCAACAAAACCCCATATAGGCCAGATTTCTGCTTAACAAAGTCTACCTCTTTGACATAGAAGTAACTAGCAACCTAATTCTGAATAATTCTTTACTTTTGAAGTCTATTTTTTTGAGATCTCGTATTTGCTTAGTGCAAGATAAACACCGTGTTTTGTTTTGTTTTTTTAAATTTTTTTTTTTTGAACGTTTATTTATTTTTGGGACAGAGAGAGACAGAGCATGAACGGGGGAGGGGCAGAGAGAGGGAGACACAGAATCGGAAACAGGCTCCAGGCTCCGAGCCATCAGCCCAGAGCCCGACGCGGGGCTCGAACTCACGGACCGCAAGATCGTGACCTGGCTGAAGTCGGACGCTTAACCGACTGCGCCACCCAGGCGCCCCTAAACACCGTGTTTTAATGGTAATTCTTTTTGTGAAATATATATATTCAACAGAAAAGAAAAAATGTACAAACGAATGGTCATCAAAGCCTCAAGTCAAGAAGAATACATGAATTTAATATTCTAGGCCCCAGAGATAGGTAACACATGACTAGCATGTTTAAGATAAATAGCTTGATAAATTCCACCACGGTCAGTGCTGCAGGAAAAAAAAAAAAACCAACAAAAAACAAAACTTGGAATGTAAATAAAAAGAAGAAAGAAAGAAGAAAGAAAGAAAGAAGGAAGAAAGAAAGAAAGAGAAAGAAAGAAACAGAAAGAAAGAAAGAAAGAAAGAAAAAGAAAAAGAAATTTCAAAGGAGAAGAATTACACCCTGGACAAAATTGATTATTTGGTAACTTTGTTATCATGCCCTTCATTTAAATATGCAAAACTTACATATATTTTTTATCTTTCAGGAATAAAAGTATCAGCCCTAATTAGCTATTGGTCACCAGGAAATTTTAATATCTTATAAGGTGAGCTGAAAAAAATGTGTTGCAATTAAAAATGTGCTTATGAAAGGGTAGCTCCTTCCCGACCACCCTGTGGTCCCTGCTCCTTAAGTCACATCTGCTTTCCTTACTAAAGAAATAAGCCCGTGGAACAGAGGAGCTTATACAGCTGAGGAGGAAAAGTGCATTCCTTTTTGTCTGGTGCATCATCAACCAACCTGTCAGCTACATTCCAAATGCAGAATCTTTATTTTGCATGATGATTCTAGGAGGCAGAAAGCACAGCTTGGCTGACTGATCCCAGGTGGAGTTTGAAGTGCTGACAGCAAGAGAACTAATGTTTAGATTTATAAACTGAGTGAAGTTGATGTGGAAATCATTGCAAATGAATAAATATAGAGCCTTGCATTATCATTTTTATCAACTCACTTTGCTCACTATAACCCATTCTATGTAATTACTTGCGATGAATGGGAGTTGTACCTACAGCAGACATATGTACCTACAACTGCCACATATGTATGAAATATGTAGCCTCTTCAAGGGAAAGAAACACACCAATTTATTCAGCATACAGATTGAAAATACAAAAGGCAAGCCAGCATCCTATGTAACAGGGAAGGAAGAATCCGTGGCTTGTATAATTCATATCCTTAAATGAGTCAAGGAGTATTCATACCCAGGAGTGAAGATAAAACCAGTATTTTATTGATGACATTATATAAATGTTAAAATGTATATATTTTATATACTAAAAAAAAGGGAGATAAATAAAAGCTAAATCAAAGAAAAACTGGGTTGTTGGTACAGCACTTTATCTTTCATAATGACTGGAGTATATATTAAGCTGAACTATTGAAATTACATTGACATAATTACTAAAA